TCTTCCGGGTCCAGTTCTATTGGATTGTAGCGCAGCTTCGCTCTGGTGCACGCCTTCAGGTTCTGGCTGCCGACTGGCAAATAGCTGTCTCTCTTCACCCACCTGAAAAGAATCTGCTAGGTAAATCCTGCAAGAATAGATGGGCCCCTGAAACTTTAACAGTCAACCCTTCATCACTCAAAGTTTGCACGATGTTGCGCAGTACAGAATGAGAGATGTGACAAGAAGGGAAATCGAAGTCTCCGGAATCATGGTTCTATACCCTGCACAAATGCACAAATGCCTTTGCATCTTCCCTAAAAGCATTCTTCAAGTTCAGCTTAGCGCGAGTTCTACAGTCTCAAGAGCTAATATCCTCATTTGCCTATTAATCAGCCTAGTCTAGGTTGGATTCTATAATCAAATATATTTCATCAAAGCTTTTTAATTTTGCCTAGCAGTTAACCACCACTCGAATTTCAATCCCATGTCCACATCGTGACAGACCCATTACGCCATGCCCCAAAAATGAACTGACTAGCCTAAATTTAGGCAACCAACAAAGCTATGGTATATCTTTGTGAGGATTAAAGCGTCTGTTCCTGGTTTCACCAGATCTATTCAATTTTTGCCTTTCTCAATGGCATTAGCAAACACCCACGTCTAGAATTACGCTGGACTGATGAAGGAATCCCATCTTAACAGTGATGTCCAAAATTTACGCAAAAGCAAACAGTCCGGTCCTACCCAAATATCCTCTTTGATCAAGCTGAAATGCAAACAATATTGCGTCGCGCAGTTTACTTTTTTTAATGAGCTTCACCAATATGTATAGGACTGCAGAAGTGCAGAAGTAGTGACACTGCATTAAAACGGCATCCTCTCATTTTCCTACATTCTTAGAAGAAATAACTTAGATCTGCATTATGCGACATTATCATTATGCCGCAGAACAATTCTGAATTTTCGTACCGAAATGCATCCATATGAATACACTGGCGGCATTTGTACTCTTCCATGGAGTCTTTTTCGAATCCAATCTCGTTTCGCATGTTCAATTCATGCCTGGTAGCACGCGCTTCAATGAATGGCCTAAAATGAGATTCAAATCAGATGAGCTGTAACAAGCAAAAAGAAACTGAAAAAAACCAAAACAATATGAGAAAATGTCAGACTCCATTAGGTACGTCTTGTTAGAACCTCTATATGTCCGGCGTAGTCGATCATTAAAAATAAAATTCTTTTCTTCTTTTGAGATATTACACAAAAACAACCTTTATTTAAATTTTTAGGCCTAATCATTTAATTTTAAACCAACCAGTTTGAAGATAATCGACAGCACAGAAGTTAATGGTACCAGATGTAGGCTAAAGGTGAGGATTAAGAAGGTCCTTGTGGAACAAATTTTATCCAGCGATTTCATGATATTCATAGCTGCCTATCAATATTATCAAGACATTTGTTTTTACTTCCTCGCATTTTCTTACTACAATTTTGAAAGCTTAATGATGGAACCAAGCGACTCTGAAATCTTAGTATTCTCTGTTCGCTTATAAGAAATTAGTTGGAACTCTGAGTATCCAGATGAGACATACATTCAAAACTTCGTCAGTCAAACCGAACTCCGGATCCAAAAATTAAGTTTTCGGTTTTCAAAGAATCCTCCTCAACAGTATTATTAAATTCGATTAAATAACTGTTAATTAAAACGAGCATTAATCGAAGTAGTAGATTTAGTCTTTATTCTCTCCTGCCATCAATTGTAACTGAAAAGCCATTGAATTTTTCGATTAATACAAGGAACAGTTCTGAATGTGAAACAGAGTAGAGAAAAATCATAACCGTAAGTCTCTGAACATCTCAGATATGTCTGGGAAGTCATATAATGCCAAAATGTTGTCAAAACACCTTTACCTTCAGCATGTGTAGTAACCAGCATTGTTTAAAGCTGTTCAGTCGACTTTTATATGCACTGATGATCGCCGCTGTTTCCACTTCGTACAGCAAAAACCAAACTGACAGAAGTCTGACAAAAATGAACCTTTGTTTAGCACGGTCATTTCATTTAAAGACGTGCCTTTATGAGACCTTTCAATGTAAACAGAGCCAGCAAAATCTTTATGTTTACGTCCTGAATGCAGTTATCATGGTTGGAGGACAGCATTAAAGTAGTTAAACTGCTGGACCTTTTCCATGACACTGCTTCCGAGGAATACTTTCCTTTCCTCTCTTCCATCTGGACTGTTCATTACTTTTGACTTCCTAGGATTCAGCTCGATGCCCGCTGGTGCTGCAGTTGTGCTAACACTTCATTTTGTATGTGACAGCCTTCATCACCATCGTCGATTAAAACAATGTCATCAGAATAGCCCAGATTTGTCATTACTTCACCGGTTACTTTGTGCTTCGTCAGTTCTAGCAGGAACCCGGTCATGCTGCCGTTCATAGCCATTTTGTAAAATAATATTTACTAATAGAGTGAGGAGCAGAAGCGAGAGCAAACAGTCCTGTCAGACGCCGTTCTTAATTTCGAACCCTTCTGAAGTCCGTTCTTCGCCCTACGGCGTCAATTATTCCAAAGTGCATCCTCGCTATTATGACGACGACCTGCTCTGGAACACCGAAACTGCGGGCGATCTTGTACTGATTAGGTCAGCTGCCAGGAGATGGCACATAAATTTAACAGCATAGCCACAATTCTCGAGCTCAGGAATGACCACGCCAGAACATCTTGCTATCTCAGTCCAACTATTCGCAGGTCTTCGACGTTCCACCTACGTTTCAACTGGCCATGCCGATGTGCAGTGCAACAGATTTATTGCTTAAGAAAATTAGCAGTAAACAGAAGTTTATGCTGTGATCGCATTCTAGCCCATACCTATAGCTGTACAGCCTTGCTTTCCATTGCACAATAACAGCACCTCCTAACAGATGCACATTTCTACCCACAATGTCATACCCAAAATTAGAAACCTGTTTATGGTATTCCTTCGCACATAATTTATTATATACATATTCTCAAGCCCTTCTGATCATACTCGGTCCGTCTCCATGGAGAGATAAAATATTAATCATCATTACGCACATACGAAATCATGTACGTTTTCCAATAGATCATTATTACACTATAAAATCAGAATTTCTTATTTACTCAAAAAACAGGTATAAAGTTAGAACGTACCAGTCGAAAGCATCGCCGTTATAAGTCACGATTATGTTAGGTTTTACGCTAGTGATGTGCTCGAAAAAGCGAACAAGCAAATCGTATTCGTTTTTCTCGTTGAAAACGATGAACTGTCCTTCATACTCCGGTTTGGGCGTATATTCGAAATCCTCGACATCCGCAGATATGATTTCGCGGTTAATGATGAGGAAACCTTGAGTATCGATCATGTAAGAAATCATCATAATCTGGTCCACCTGAGCATCAGGAAACTTTAACGGCGCCTTTGTGGTTTCAATGTCAAACGCAAGAATCGTCGGTTCCTGAAAGTTACGAAACGCACAAGCTTGTTATGAAGCGTCACCTTCTGATCCTACCGGTCGATCGATTATGCTAGTATTCATGTGTATTTCGACTTCGTTCCCGCCGAGTGCAGCTACCGTATACCAGCAACCGGCATATATTTCCATATCGATCGAAGCGCGAATATGGTACGGAACATCATATTCTCTAAATCGTCCATCAGTCCGGGTGAATAAAGGTAAATGTCAACGAAATGAGCGAAACGCTTTACAGCTACCTGATATCAATCATGTTGTCCGTCTGATCAGCCACGACCGGCTGTTCATCGTTGCCCGCGAAGTGACTGTAATAGGTTTAAGTAGTAACAGATTGCAGAGCAGTGCCGGTGAAGTCTAACGTACCTTGTCAGCAGCATAGAATAATTTGACTGCGATGCCTGCTGCGCCTTGTTGCGACGTATTTTGGGCATAAGCTCTTTGCGAACCTTTATCAGATCAGAGACGTTTAGGAATGTCAGCTTCACGTACAACTTTTTTATTCCAATCAGGTGATTTGGCTAAAGTACAGCAATTTTGTACTAGAACGCATAAACTCATCTCTAAATTAAGACAACAAAATATACAATTTTAGCTCATAGATACAGAACTTTCGATCTCGATGTTGTTCCGCAATATATGATCAAGAATTGTATAGAGGCGAAATGGAATGAATTGCTTCATCCAATAAAAGATTTTTAAACTGCCCGAAAATGATAAGTGGCGCCTTGACCGACTACTGATTCGACTATCAAAAAATAATTTTGCCCAATGCAAACACTAGTAGAAGAGAAAATGAACTCGAAATGTCGTCAGCATTTAAGTACTGGCACTCCGAGGACCAAATATCCGCATTCCTGTCATGGAAAGCGAGCAATGATTAAAGTAAGGGATCACATGCCGAGTCGAAGTATAGTGCCGAATTTCTCTGGTCCTGAAAATATTTCACAAACTCGGAAGCAGCCAGCAAGCGGGACAGTTGAAATTAAAATTTAGCAGGCTTGTTGTTGCCTTCAAAACTCATCTGTTCAAGAAAACAGCAGAGAGATTAAATGGCTGTTTGCCACCTACCCACGGAGAGCAGACTGAAGGAATGGAAGCTAAGGCAGTACTAATTTTCAACAACAATAGTGTGATATTATTTACAATGCAGTCTGACGACTAGTGGACAAAATCGATGAATGATATCAATAAATGGAAAGGGAGGCTACTAGAACAGATCAAGAGGCTGTAGAAAAGCTGAAAATATCAGGACCCGTGTAGCATCAGATTTAGATCCCGACTGATTATCGCATTGAATTCGTGATCACAACACCTGCTGGAACATTAGCAAATTTTTAACAGGCGATGTTGGAAGCTATGATGATTCGAACAATGGATAATACTATAAACAGCGACTGTGACCTGGAAATGTTAAACGTAATTATTTATCCTCAAAAGACATTAAAGCAAAAAGATATCAGTGGATAACTGAGCACCATTATGGATTGTCATTTTGATGACGAGTAACAAAGAAGGCAAGCAAGTGAAGATCATGCAAAAAATATCATGTGATTCTGAGCTTAAAGCCTATATCGCATTTGTTGCGCACTGACGGCTACTACGGTGATATGATCGAGTCATTTTGATTGATGAAGGCCAATAATTTTAATCTAACCCTGAGCGTTCGTGTGACTTTCTGTCTGTAAATAATAAAATTTTCTCCCGATATGCTTTTACAACGATAAGCAGTTCAAAATACTGACACTTATTTAACGCATTCGAAATGTATAATCAAGCACTAATGTCGCCGATGAAGTTAAGAAAAAACATCGCTGCTAATGAATAAATCAGTTTTCGTAGCTTCTCAACACCTCACTGTAAGCTACACCACGCTACGTAACGTCTTGGGCTGT